TCCATTTTATAATTATCGTAGCTATTGTAGCTGAAGAAACATAGTATTTAAGCTTAGATTCACAATTCCTTTTAGTTATCAATGTATTTGTTTGTCTCTGATTATTATAAAATAGACATTTCGACCATTTACCAATGCTCTTCATCAGTTGGTCTTTATTTATTTGTTTGTGTTTAAATTACTGCGTAGAGATTCAGACACAAAAACAACACTTGCCATGAATATTTATTTGGAACATTTGCCTTGATGAGCAACTAATACTTTTTCAATTATTGTAACTGAAGCCTTAGAAGTTAGAGAACTAAAAATTCAGCTTATAGGTTTCGATATTTTTTGGTTTGTTTGTATCTGAATTACTGCGTAGAGATTTGACCAATGAACGACCAAAAACATCATTCCAATTGCTTTTGGAACTCTTGCTTCGAAGACCAACTTGAGTAAATGCCCTTTTTATTTCTTTTTTTTATTTATTTATTTGTTTTTGGCGGAGGAATCATGGCGTGCTCAAAGGATCCTCCTTTGGCGTGCTCGAAATCGTTAACAATATAATCCCTGTAAATTTGAATCAAYATCTTGATCAGAACACGGTAAACACATTATACGTTGGAACTAAAGGAAATGCCTTCATCGCACCTGCTASGCCCTTTAGGCTCGTTAAAGCATTACGCCTTTGTTTTAGTCTGACGAGAATATTGCTCAGTTCGTATCAGTAATTCTAGTGATAGCTGAATAAGCAAAAAAGGCTGATAATGACAAGGTCATAATTTTACGAAAGGCGGACATACCTAATGGTAAACCGACTGACTTCCTTTCTGTTCCACTTTCTAACTTATTTATGTTACTACTTTTGTCAAAAGCTGATCTAAGTACGTTATCACTCACAGATCATGTATCACGATTAGATATTAGTGAGTCCATCACGTTTATTGCTTTTATTAGCTTATTTAGGGAAACTAAGCCGATTATAGTAAAACTAAGATATATTAGTTAGGTATGTATTAAGARGACTGTTGTCGAATTTCTTTACTCTCTTTGTCTTAAATTTCGAATTTCATCACGTTTTTGTTAGTCAAAACAACCAGTATTGAATTGCCGCTCTATAATTAGAATATTGATATTGTAAAAGAAAGGAAAAAACATGGAAGATAGAAAGATTAGCTATTAGGTTACATCCTGCAATGTTACTAAATGGAAGTCGCACACATGAAAAAAGCTGCTCAACTAGAGAGATCATGATCAGGTATCTTTATGATGATCTTGCCTCTACAAAATTTTTGGCTTATCTTTTTTACCTCTCTTTTTTGTCTTTTATTTATCTCTCTTCTTCGTGAAACTCCTAGAACTTTTGTCTTATTTACTTCTTTTATTTCTATCATTTAGTATTCTATAAACGTAACAACATCTTTAGAAACATGGAATTTAATCAGTTTGTCTGACGAAAAAATAAGGAGAACGATATCCCAATTTACGCGTTTTAAAGCCGGAAATTTTTGTACTCCTTCGACATATTGAATTAAAACACTCTTTCTATTTTCTTTGTCGTTGTCAGTTGAACTTGAAAATTTCTTTGGAAAATAAAAGGCCGGCGTCGTGGCTGGCTTTGGATACATCGGGGGCGGAAATGTGTTTCTTAAATTGAATGCTTTATTTTTCATTGAGGACCATTTGTATGACCATTGGTAAGATGTAAAAAGCCATTACTTTAATTGGTTGGTAGGTTGTAAAATTGATTATTTCTCGCCAATGAGACCGTCAATCATAGCAGTGACTTCGATAATGTTATCGTTTTTTCTTTCTTTTTTTTTTAAGGTAGAGGCGTTCAACATGAACCAAACCGAACAAGGAACATTTCTCCAAGAGAATGTCAGCTGCGCGGACCCTAGTTACACAGACTCATATCTCGTTAAAACCACAAAAACCACACTACTAGCTATCACCATGACCATTGCACTCTTTGGCAACTTACTCGTAATATTCATCGTGTACAAAAACAAAAAGATGAGGCGAACAACCAACATATTCATCGCAAACATGGCCACCTCAGACTTGTTCATCGCTGTCGTCACAATCCCAAGAATCATCACGGAGCTCTACGTAGGACCACGACGGTGGTTAATTGGAGGAGTAATCGGAACTATTTCTTGTAAACTATGTTTGTTCCTGACCGACTTTTCGCTTGGAATATCATTTATGAGTCATTCCGTCATCGCCATAGATCGCTTCTGTGCCATTGTTTATTCTCTTCGTTTATCACCAATTACCCCAGCTCGTCGCAAGTACATCATTGCTCTGATTTGGTTGCTAATTTTTATGCTCAATTCACCAAGCTTTTATACCTACAGGCTGCAAAAAATGGATGATGCAATGTTTTGTGTAACCAGTTGGTATCCTCTAGACACCAAAGTCTCTCAAATGACTTTTTTTTCGGTGATATTGGCCATCGAGTTTGGCGTACCGATTCTTCTCATGACTGTCTTGTATACCTGGCTAATCATATCTCTAACGAGCCAAAAAAGTTTGTCTACGCAGTCCTTACACATGAGAAAAATAAGACGCAAGGAAGATATCCGAGTTCTGCGCAAAGTTTTGACTCTTTTGGTCGTGTTTTTGGTCAGCGTTATTCCCATCACGCTGTTGGGAGTGTTCCTGTATTATCAATGGGACTTTGTGCTTCCCTGTTGGGCTTGGAGCTTTGCCTTTGTTGTGCATCTTTTATTCCTGTCCAACAGTGCAGTAAACCCGTGCTTATGTATCGCTCTCAACGCCAGCTACAAGCATTATATCCAAAAACTGTTGTGCCCTTCGAAATACAGTAACACACGATCATCTCCTGGTCCCTCCACTCAGAGAAAAGAAGGGAAAGAACTAAGTGATTTTTCTGCAGAGAACAAACAACATTTTCTGCTAAATGAACGATAAGATTAGACAAAAAATCTATAAAGGGCAGATAAAGACAAGGTTAGGGACCCATGCATTAAGCGATAAAAAGAACAACTGCACCCCGAACTGCACCGATAAAAATAGAAGAAAATACTTATATGAAAAAATAAAGCTGCTTTTTACTCGATTCACCTAAACCTCTTGTAGACCTACTCTGCTCTGTTCTGCTCTGCTCTGCTCTGCTCTGCTCTGCTCTGCTCTGCTCTGCTCTGCTCT